CTTGGGGCCATAGGCGCCTTGGTGCCATAGGCGTATTGGGGCCATAGGCTGTCTTTGGGCCGTAGGCCGTCTTGGGGCCGCAGGCGTCTTGGGGCCATGGGCGTCTTGGGGCCATAAGCAGCTTGGGGCCATAGGCGTCTCGGGGCCGTAGGCTGTCTTGGGGCCATAGGCGTTTTGGGGCCATAGGCGTCGTGGGGCCATAGGCTGTCTTGGGGCCATGGGCGTCTTGGGGCCATAGGCGTCTTGGGGCCATGGGCGTCCTGGGGCCATATGTGGGCGACGCCCCCGTCTCGGCACGTCTTCACACGTTTCGTGGCCCCGTAGGGGGCTCCACCGAAGGCCCAGTGGGACCGCCCGCGCGTGGGCGACACGTCGTTTCGGCACACCTCTCACACGCTTCGTGGCCCCAGAAGAAGCTCCGCCGAAGGCCGCAGTGGCGCCGCCCGCGTGCGGGCTTTGCCCCATAGGGAGTTCCAATTAGGACGGTGATCGCAATTGCGGTGCTCGCAACTGCATGCGGTTGGGTTCTCCGCCAGGATGATTTTGTCGCCGTTGTCGTCATCATCATCATCGTCGTCGCCGTCGTCGTCGTTGTCGTCTCACCTGCGACCGAACAACGAGGGGCCCGGACGACTCACCTCCGACCGAACACCGAGGGGCCCGCGCGACTCGCTTCCGACCGAACACTGAGGGCACCGAACGACTCACCTCCGACCGAACACTGAAGGGCCCGAACGACTCACCTCCGACCGAACACCGATGGGCCCGAACGGCTCACATCCGACCGAACACGTAGGGGCCCGAACGACTCACCTACGACCGAACACTGAGGGGCCCACGCGACTCACCTACGACCGAACATTGGCGGGGGCCGAACGTTTCACCTCCGACCGAACGCTGAGGGGCCCGCGCGATTCACGTCCGACCGAACAACGAGGGGCCCGAACGACTCACATCCGACCGAACACGGAGGGGCCAGAACAATTCTCTTCCGGCCGAACACCGAGGGGCCCGAACGAATCACTTCCGACCGAACACTGATGGAACGACTCACTTCCGACCGAATATTGAGGGGCCCGAACGACTCACCTCCGACCGAACACTGAGTGGCCCGAACGATTCACCTCCGACCGAACACACAAGGGCCCGAACGACTTACCCCCGACCGAACACTGAGAGGCCCGAGCGCCTCACCTCCGACCGAGAACCGAAGGGCCCTGACCGTGCTAGGAGCTGTGCAGCATTATCTCTGAGGCCGTAGATCAGAAATCTAAGGGCTCATTGGTAAAAGCTTAAGGCTTACAACATAAGCCTGGGCTCGAGATATTTCATAACGGTAAAGGCTTGGGATTTGTACCCTGGGGCCCTGGACTTACGGTGTCGTTCGCGTCTGATCGCGTGCCGGGTGCTAGGCTTCAGTTGTGTCTGGTATCCATGACATGAATATGTTGTAAAACCGTTCCACGGTTTTCGTTGGTTTTATGTGGAGTTGTTGATATGGTACATATTTAATTTTTCCTTGAACATGATTTTCCATACGTTTGCAAATCGTGTTTTATAATATGTTCGAGTTTTTTCATTATTTTTATTGCTTTCAATGACTGGTCGCGCATTTTGTATGATTTCCAAGTTTTTACATTGTTTTCAATGGTTTTAGAATATTTCTGTTTTTTTGTTTTTTTCAATACTGGACCACGTTTTTTTTTTTTTTTTTTTTTTTTTTTTTTTTTTTTTTTTTTTTTTTTTTTTTTTTTTTTTTTTTTTTTTTTTTTTTCTTTTTTTTTCCACATGTTCTTGTATGTTTTGGTTTGGTTTTTTTTTGCAATGGTTTTTCCAGTTTGGGACTTCAGAACTTTTTTGGGCATTTTGTAATTTAGGGCGTTTGTTTAGCCGTGTTTGTTGATTTGTTTGTGTACATGTTCAGTTGTTGTTCTCCTCCGCGATTCGGTGCAACAGTTCCCAAAACTTCCGGGGAACTTCCGGGGAATTTCCGGGGAACGCGTTTGGGAGGGGTTCGGTGCGCGAGAATCGCAAAATCAATCAAACAGTTACAGAAACTTACAACAACAACAAAAAATGCACAGCGCGCGAAGCATCTTGCAACAATAATCAAAAACAAATAAAACAGAACATGCATGGAAAAACAACAGAAATCAAGGAACACAGAAAAAAGAATCAAACACCACCAGAAATTTGGAAACTATTCAAAGATGAAGAAACATTTCAAAACATGCAAACATCATTTCTTATATAAAAAAGAATCATGAAACAACTAAGACCTGCAGAATATATATATATATATATATATATATATATATATATTATATATATATATCTATATACACATACATAAACATACATATATATACATATATATATACATTTATAACGTTGAAACACTTGTGAAACTTATAGTGTGCTCCAAAAAATCAAAACATAGAAACATAACATACATTGAACCAATCACGCTGTTTTCAATGGCAGGGCCCCCTACATGGCAGGGGGCCGCCTGGTGGCTCAGTAACCGCACGAGCAAAGACCCCTGAACCCGTTTTTCTGTTTACAAGAAACAATGTTACAACGGTTTCTGCAACGAACATTTTTATTCTTACTACGACTGCGAATACGACCGCGACTGATAATATTTCTACAAGTATTCTAATCCCATTACTACTACTACTACTGCTGCTGCTACTACTGCTACTACTACCACTACGACGACTACTACTACTACTACTACTGCGACTACTACTACTGCTACTACTACTACTACTACTACTACTAACGCTACTACTTGTACCACTATTATGGCTACTACTACTACTACTACTACTACTACTACTACTACTACTGGTACTGGTACTACTACTACTACTACTACTACTACAACTTCTAATGCTACGAATAGTACTACTGCGACTCCACCTGCTACCCAACAAATATTACTTCTACCACCATCACTACTACGACGATTACTACGGCCACGACCACGACCACTGCTGGTACTACTACTACTACTTATACTTACAAAAAAAGCTATGCTAATATTTCATACGACTACTACTACTACTACTACTACGACTACTACTACTACTAATACTGCTACTACTACTACTACTACTACTACTACTACTGCTACTACTGCTGATGCTGCTGCTACTACTACTACTACTACTACTAATACTACTACTACTACTACTACTACTACTACTACTACTACTACTACTACTACTACTAGTACAACTACCACTACCACTACCACTATTACCACTGCTGCTACTGCTACTGCTACTGCTGCTACTACTACTTCTACTACTACTACTACTACTACTACTGCTACTACGGCTGTTACTACTCATTCTACTATTACGATTACTGCGACTACCGCTGGTGCTACTACAACTATTCGTTTAGTGTCAAATTTTACGCAGCCGCAGTCTCCCGCAGAGCAAGAGACATAGCAAACAGCGAAGGTTCGGTGGGCGCCAATTTGACCCCACCAGCTGGCTGGGCGAAATAGGGGCCATAGGCTTCAAAGCGCCAACAGCCACCAAAGCCGCCCCAACACCAAAACCAGAAACAGCCACCACAAACTACCTCAGCGCCTAAACCGCAGACAGCCACCAACTGTCGCCCCAGCGCCCAAACCAGAAACAGCCACCAACAGCCACCTCATCGCCCATGCCACAAACAGCCTCCAACAGCCACCCCAACGCCCAAACAAGAAACAGCCACCAACAGCCACCTAGGCGCCCAAACGAGAAACAGCCACCAACAGCCACCCCAACACCAAAACCAGAAACAGCTACCAGCAGCCACTGGACTATAGAACAAGCGCTGTTTGGGGTCTTGTGGACCAGTGCTGTCTGGGGTCTTGTGGGCAAGCGCTGTTTGGGGTCTTCTGAACAAGCGCTGCTTGGGGTCTTGTGAACAAGCGCTGTTGGGGATTCGTGGACGAGCACTGTCTGGAAACTTGTGAACGACCGCTGTGGACATACGTTGTGGACAAGCAGTGGGCCCGGAAACCAAACCTTGTTCGAGGACAGAAGTGCGCTTTGGCTTGCAGGTCAGTCTACCTCCGCGTGTATTTCATGGCTCGAGCCCGAAGTTTTTTTCCACTCGAGCATGCTGGCGGAGTCATTCGAACGCCGCGCGATGTCAGAGAGCCCTGGGCGCGACGCTGGCTCGGAGCGCTGCGTTGCCCAGGGCAGGAATTGCAGAGATGCGTTCCTGAGTCGATTCCAGGGGAAGACTGGACAGATGGGCAGCCTCCTGACACATGCGTTCCAGAAGATCCCGCGCGCAGGTCTCGGTCTCGCACGACAGAGCCTAGGGGCCCAGGGTCGACAGGGGAGAACTCAGTTGGTGATCAGTTCGAAGAAACAGATGATCGCGAAGATGGTGTCGCGCCTCCCTCATCATGGACGAGGCGTCGGACTTAGCCAGCGAGTGCGAGGGCGAGGGCAAGAGCGAGCCGGGGAGCTTGGGCGACTTCGGCGTCATCGTGGGCTCCGACTCCGACATAGACGAGGACGCAGCTGCTCGGAAGTATTCGAACATGGGCCCTGTGAGCTTCCAGCGTGAGATCAACGAGATCAGGAGCGGGAACGTCAAGATGCGCAATGAGATGACGCGTTGGCCCCCGCCGGGGCCGAGTGCACCAGGGGAGTTCGGGAACCGCGCAGAGCGCTGCGTGGAGAAAACGTGCGAGGGGCATGATGGTGAAGTTCGTGGCCGTCGGCTTTGCAGTATGTCGGAGTATGGCGCTGCCCTGCGCGCCGACTTCAGCGGCGCCCAGGGCGCAGAGATGGCGATGAAGATGGCGGAGCACACGCTGCGGAAGAGGGGCCTCGCTGCACCCTGACTGCTGTTCTTCAGGGCGCCCGAGTCGAACGCGAAGCTGGTCAAGGGCACCTGCAAGGTGGGTGGCCCTCTGAGGCCCCAGCGCGCGTTCAAAAGGGTCGAGGATATTCGCGACCCCATTCAAGATCTCGCCGCAGATTCTGCCATGCTTCCCAGGGCTTGCGGTGAACGTGAAGATGGAGTTCAACGAACATCACATGAGCGAACTTGGAAGGCGTGCTGGGGGGCTCTCCTGCAAGGGCAAGGCGTCCAACATGTGCGCGGTGCACGGCGGCAGCTGCCCATGTCGATGCGGTGAGGAGGACCTCTTCGCCGACCCTCGCGAGTCGCCCTTAACCATGAGCTGGGGTTGGCCCAGGTGTCAGGCATGGTGCCCTGGAGGTGGCTATCAGGGGGTGGCCCACAAGTCGATCGGCGCATTCAACATGTGGATCGAGGAGGCCACGCGGTTCGACATCGTGCTCATGGAGGAGTCCGACCAGTTCCCTGTGGAGATCACGATTGAAGGCATGTCGCAGACCCACAAGGTGATCTTCGGAATCTTCTCGCCAACTGATCTTGTTTGGCCCACTGCCCGATCGCGAGTTCGGGCTGCTGCTCTCCGCTATGAGCGCCTTCCCTGGCTTGGGCCCATCGGGCCGAATGTGACCGATGCGCGCCCTTGCATATCTACCGCGAGAAGGTCGTCAGCACGGCTAGCGTCTTCTGCCAGCTGGACACCCCAGGTGCGATCCAGCGCAACTTGAAGGAGCAGTCCAAGCAGCCCAGGGATAACGGGAGGAAGCGATTTTAACAGGATTCAGCCGCCGGAAATTGTTTTTTTTGTAAATCGCCCGCCCCCCGGCGTTGACTTTTGCCCCTTTGGGGGGGCTGATTTTCTATTCGCCCCTTTCGCCCGCTCGTTCGCCCGCGGCCGCGGGGGGGGGGGCGCGGGGGGTGCGGGGGCGGGTGGGGTGGGGGGGGGGGGGGGGGGGGGGGGGGCGGGGTAATTAGGGGATTAAAGCGGGTTTTCAAAGGCGCTTGACCACCCTCGCCCTTGCGGACGGCCGCGGTCGCCTTGCGGACGGCCGCGGCGATTGGGAGGCGGGGGATGAGGAGGGGGGGGGGGGGGGGGGGGGAGAGGAGGAGGGGGGGGGGCAAGCTAGGTGCGCTCGCGTCATATATGACAGCTTACCCCATCTCTCCCATCCCTTGCCATGGCGTAGATCCCCGTTCTACTCGCGCAGTTGGATGTCGAGCAGGGCAATGATCCCGAAGGGGTGCGCGATGAATTGTAGAGCACGGCGTGGCAGGGCGTTGAAGAGCACCGCAAAGCGTAGCATGTCACAGCATCGCGTGGCGTGGCGCAGAGCAGAATTGCATCGCAAATCTTTGCAACGCAAAGCATGGCATCGCACAGCGGCCCCGAACATAACATTGCGTAGCATGGCGTTCAAGATCAAAGCGTAGCATGGCAGAGCACGACGTGGCACGTTCGTCGCCGCAGACGGTCCGCCTGCTCTGCCTTTCTCCGCCAGAATTCTCTTCCGCGCACCCCGCTGCACAATTCGAGGGGGGGCGCCCGCCACCCTTGCCCGCCGAGCCGGGAGGGCGAGGAGGAGAGGAGGAGGAAGGGGACGGCGATTCAGATGAGGAGGAGGACGAGGAGGAGGAGGACGAGGAGGAGGCGGAGGAGGAGGAGGAGGACGAGCTCGCCCTGAAAAATCACACCGCCCCCCCCCCCCCCCGCCCCCGCGCCCTGGATCGCCCCCCCGCCCCCCCCCCCCTTGGCCTTCCAGACAACCCGGAATTGTCAGCCCCCCGTCTGCCTGCCCTGCCCCCCCGCCATCGCGGGGGCGAGGGGGCCCGCGAAACATTTTTTTGAATCGTCCGCCCCAAAACGTTGTTTTAATAGTTTCCCCTCATTAAGTAGGAGTTCGTTGGCCATGCGTTCGAGGCGCTGTCGTCGAGCGCTTCCGATTTTCTTCTTGCGTACCTTGAGCTTGCACAGGCGCGCGAGGTATCGGACTGCAACCGTTTGGTCGTCGACGTCAGCAGCGTCAGCAGCAACCCCCATGGTCACAGCCGCATGTCCCGTTGGGCCCCCACGGTCCGCTGCAGTTCGCAGATGATTAGCATCGACATCGGAGACGCGGCCAAATATCACATCTGCACGCCGAAGGAGATGGCCTTTTCGCAGGGCTGGCCAACGCTATCGACGAGCGACGAGCTACGTGATTTGCTTCCATCCGACGTCGCTGAGGTGTCCCAGACTTTGGGCAAGTCTACGTTGGGCAACGGGATGCACCTGGTGGCCGAGGAGTCGTGGTTCTGTTTCGTGGCAAGCCACGCGATCAGGAGGGGCGTGGCAATCAAATTGCGCCCGCCCATCAATTTCGAGTGGAAGAGCCCGGAGGGGGATGGCGAGCCCATGCTGGTCAGTTGCCAGGCAGCAGCGGCTCGAATAAGCTAGCGGTTTAGAGCTGCCAGACGCGAGGCTGCGGGCTTAGCGACCGCTTCTTGAGAAAACCGATCGGCCTCCTGACTCTACAACGTTCTGAGGCGTCCACGGCCGAGTGGATCGTCTGATGGGCCAGTGGGAAGGGCCGCAGTGCTAATGCTGCCCTAGATGGCGAGAGGCATCCTGGAACCCCACGGGCTCTAGGCATCATGGTTTCCCAAAGGCTCGACGTATCCTGGGCGCCCAACCAAAGGCCCCCCCTTGGCTTTCTCTTTGGGCGGCTCTCAGGCGGGACCCCGCTCTTATGCGTGACAAGGCTGCTGCGCGTGAGGCAAACATCGGATCATATGTCAACATGTACGTGTGTGTAGGTATGTATATGTATGTATGTATGTATGCATGTATGTATGTATGTATATATGTATATATGTATACATATATACATATATATATATGCGCTCTGGCTCTGAGAGAACCCACAGACCTGTCCGAGGGGCTGCGGCAAGGTCCCAGTGTGGCCCGGGATAAACTGACAAGCATTTAAATATATATATATATATATATATATATATATATATATATATGTCAAGGGCACAAACCAACGCACTTCGCACGCTTGCCCAGGAGCTGCCCAGAGCGGCCCCAAGAGGTTCTACGGGGGCCTCCAGACGCGACAGAGGGGCTCCGGGAGGGCCCTAAGGCTGCCCAGGACAGCTTGCAAACACGTTTTTTTTGTTTCTTTTTTTTAGAGAGAGAGAGAGAGAGAGAGAGAGAGAGAGAGAGAGAGAGAGAGAGAGAGAGAGAGAGAGAGGGAGAGAGAGAGAGAGAGAGAGAGAGAGAGAGAGAGATATAGAGAGAGAGAGAGAGAGAGAGAGAGAGGAGAGAGAGAGAGAGAGAGAGAGAGAGAGAGAGAGAGAGAGAGAGAGAGAGAGAGAGAGAGAAGAGACCCCCCCCCAAAAAAAAAAAAAAACGCTTCCCATGGCTGCCCTGGATATGCTCCGAGAGGTCCCAAGCGGCTCCAGGGGGGCCTCAAGACTGGCGCACGGGGCTCCGAGAGGGCCCCAAGACTGCCCAGGACAGCTTGCCAGCAAGTGTTTTCTTTGAGAGGGATCCCCCAAAACGCCCCCCATGGTTGTCCAGGATATGCCCCGAGAGGTCCCAAGAGGCTCCAGGAGGGCCTCAAGACTGGCCCACGGGGCTCCCAGAGGGCCCCAAGACTGCCCAGGACAGCTTACCAGCATTTTTTTTTTTTTTTTTGAGAGAGAGAGAGAGAGAGAGAGAGAGAGAGAGAGAGAGAGAGAGAGAGAGAGAGAGAGAGAGAGAGAGAGAGAGAGAGAGAGAGAGAGAGAGAGACCCCCCCAAAACGCGTCCCATGGCTGCCGAGGATGTGCTCGGAGGGGTCCCAAGAGGCCCCAGGGGGGCCTCAAGACTGGCCCACGAAGCTCCGAGAGGGCCCCATGACGTCCCAGGACAGCTTGCCAGCAAGTGTTTTTCGAGAGGGCCCCCCCGAAACGCTTCCCATGGATGCCCAAGATATGCCGACCCTGGCCCGACACCTGAGGTTTGAACCCTTTAGGGGTCCTCTCGGGGCCCCGCTGGGCCCCCCCCAAGCCGTCTTGAAGGGGCCCGAGAGACCTCGGGGGATTCTCAAGAGGCCTCCAAGATGCCTCCGAAGCGCCCCCGAGGGTCGTTTAGCAAGGTGTTGCAGGGCATGGCAGGGTCCGCACGGAGTCTTTGCCCCCCCCTTTGCAGGGCATTGCAGGGGCTGCGGCGAAGTCCAGGGGAGAGGTTAGGGAGAGGGGGTACGAACGGAAGTTGGAAGAGCTAACTCCCTGAACCACCTGCGCCCAGAGGGCTTGTGGGACTCCAGACCTTACGCCGAGCTCAACATGTAATATCGAGCCGTCGCCAAGAATAACATGCCCCCAAACAGCGCAGTCTAACGTAACAGAGGGCCCCGCGCAGTGGACGTGGACCTCCAAACAGTGGGCGTGGCACCCATAACAGTGGAAGTGGAACCCAAACGGTGGACGTGGAACCCAAACAGTGTTGACTGGTGCCAGAAATCACAGACGAAATGATTGTAATGAGAATTTGCCTCGAGGGTCAACTCCTATCGTTTGCGCTGTGAGTCCGTAGCTTCGCCGTTGGTCAAGCAGATTTATTTCTACGTATTTTCCATGGCGCCATGTGCTCGCGAGGCGAGCGCTGCCACTTCTGTTGGCCATTATGTCAGCGACTGATGCTGATGCCGAGGCCGCGCCTGCCGCGGCCAAGGGCTCAGGCGAGGCACCGGGGCAAGCCGGGGGCGAGGGCGGCCTCGGTAAGTTCGACGGTCTCGCCCGAGCCGGCTTCTCTTTCGGAGACGACGGCGCGTCGCTGGGCGTTCCGCCACTTCACGCAAGAATGCTCGAGCGGAAGGCTGGATGTGCAGACCCAGAGGCGGAGCCAGAGGCAAAGAAACATGGAAAAGCAGTTGCTCGACCGAAGACAGGCAGCCGTCGGACGGATAAGCCCTGCCCTGTTGACGCGCGCGCGGAACAGATATGTGGGAACGAGAAATACTGCAGACCGCACCAGCGGATTTACGAATGCTTGCGGACTCGCAGCCAAAGGGGCGTTGACGACCTTGGTGAGAGCACCGAGACGGAGGACTCCAAGAGTTCCAAGGAGATTTTCGGGCACGAGGGGAAAAAAGGGCTCCAAGACCTAAGAAGGGGATCTACATCTCGCAAGTCAAGTGTTGGACGATGTCCGAGAGAAGCATCCTGACATGGGCGATGCTGACGGCAGCGGTGGTACAAGCTTTTTTTTTGCAGCCGCAGGCGGAAGCGCCGGCGGCGGCGGGGCGCGGTCGGGCTGCGGCCGTGACAAATTTGCCGGGCGCGCGCGGGGGCCGCGGATCAGGCGGGCGGTGGTGCAAGCACGGAAACCCGTGGAGCCGACATTTCGCTTTCTACGCGCGTCAACCGCAGGGGGGCCGAGGAGAGCAACGCAGACCTTTCAGCTCGACCGAAGTGGGACTTCGAGATTTTCTCCATCCAGATGCAGCTCCTCCGAGGGTGGAAGGCAGCCAAGATCAAGCAG